GCGAGGGGCACCGCCCGCATGCGTCAGACACCGCCCAGTACAGCGCTCCGTGGCCCCATGGGGAACCCCACCGAAGGCCCCAGTGGCGCCGCCTGCGTGCGTCTCCCCCACCCACTACGGCACGTCCTTCGCGCTTTTCGTGGCCCTACAGGGAGCTCCACCGAAAGCGGCACCCACAACGTGTTACTTTCATGTAGAGGGACATGCCCGATTTAACCATAGACTTCTAGTCCTTCCATATTCCTTGGCTCAGCTCTTCTGGGTGCAGCCTCTCCCCTGGCAACTCCCGGGCACCGTCGTTGGGCTTGCCGCCTTTGAAAAATCGCAGCCCCGGCCCCTGTGTCGGGGGCGCGCAAACATGGATTGGCGATCCATGGGTCTGGCGCGCGGTCTCCAAATCCATGGATCAAGGGAGGTGCCATCACCAGAATGCGGCCCGTGCCGGCTCGCTCGGCGGCGGAAATCCGCGATTTCCCATGGAAACGGGATCCGTCGCTATTCCATGCTGACTACCTGCCAGACCACCCCAACCCAACCCGAAGACCTGAATTTGACCCGAATTTCGGGTTGGGGGGGGGTACGGATTCCATGTGTTTTCTCGAGGTTCCCCGACCCCCTCCACTAGAAATGGAGGGCAAATTGAGGCCTTCGGGTTGGGTTGGGGTGGCTTGGTGGGTGGTGACATGCACCCTTGATCCGTGTTTGCGATCGCCTGACTTTGGGACATTGGGCGACCCTGGTACCGCCCCGCCGTCCCCCGAGCCACGTCCGGCTCTTGCAGTGGGGCCTGCCCCGAGAGCAGCGAACAATACAAGTACTTGTGCGAGTGCACCTGCGAGCCCAAAGGCACCAGGACGTTTTAAGCCAAAAGTGGTCGCACCAACTCTGGCAGCGTCTGAAGCCCAGGGTTGCGAGGATGTCTCACGCGAGACGGGCCGGGCCACCTCAGAACAGGTCGTCTCGGAAGACAGACTTGTGAAGATGTCTCCAAAAACACGCGCCAGACAGCCTCGGCATGTCCAGAATGGGACCCTCGGGTGGCACTCGTTCTCACTAGAACAGTGCCCCACGGCACCGGCCGGGCAACCCGGGGACACTCTACAAGCGAAACTTCATGACGGCAACAAACGAGATCCTCCCACATTCAGGCTTGAGGAGCCCGACAGAGACGACAGTCACAAGTTTGAGAATGACCCCTGGTATTCAAATCACGCGATGCGGACCCTATGGGGAGGGAACTCCCGCCTTAGACTTCCTCGCAAGTCACTCACAGACGAGCCCCCGCTCCTGAGACTTCCTCCATGTTCACTCTGGGGTAGCCCAAATGCGACAACAGATACAGGCTTGAGGATGCCCCCTGGGATTGAAAACGTGACGCGCGAGCCCCACAAGGAGGGGGCTTCTGCCTGAGACTTCCTTGCAATTCACTCACAGAACAGGCTCCCGCTCGAGACGTCCTCCGTAGCTATGAAAACCTGAGGAAGCCAAAAGACACAACGGTTACAGGTTTGAGCACGGCCCGCTTGGGATAAAAACATGGCGCGCGGGCCCCATTGGGGGGGGGCTCCCGCATGAGACTTCCTCGCAATCCACTCACAGACGGGGCTTCCGCTCGTAACCTCCTCCATATTCAGGACTGAGGAGCCCAAAAGTGACGAAAGTTACAGGTTCGAGGATGACCCACTGGGATTTAAGTAATTTGAGTGTGGGACCCACAGGGAAGGGGCTCCCGCCCGAGACTTCCTCGCGATTCATTCACAGACGAGACTCCCGATCGATTGGTCCTCAAGATGACTGTGTGAGCGTGTGAGTGTGGGTGAATGAGAGAGTGGGTGAGCGAATGACTGAGCGAATCAGCAAATGAGTGATGATGATGGCAACGGGTGACCATAACGGGATGGATCATGACAATGATGATGGTGTGACGACGATGACGAGTGAGGATGGTGCTGATGACGAGTGATGACGATGAGTGAGTGAGTGTGTGTGAGTGCTTGAGTGCGTATGAGATGATGGTGACGATGATGGTGATGATGGTGAGGATGCTGATCATCATCATCATCATCATCATCATCATCATCATCATCATCGTCAGCAGCAGCATCATCAGCATGATGTGGTGGCGACTGAGTGAGAGCGTAAGTGAGAAAGTGAGTGAGCGAGTGAGGGAGGGAGGAAGGGAGCGAGGGAGCGAACGATCGAAGCAAGCGAGCGAGCGAGATGATGATGATGATGATGATGATGATGATGATGTTGATGATGTTGATGTTGATGATGGTGATGGTGATGATGATGATGGTGATGATGGTGATGGTAATGGTAATGGTGATGATGATGATGCTGATGCTGATGCTGATGGTAATGATGATGCTGCTGATGATGATGATGATGCTGTAGCTGCTGATGATGATGATTACGATGATGCTCATGCTGCTGCTGCTGATGATGATGCTGATGATGATGATGCTGATGATGCTGATGATGCTGCTGCTGCTGCTGATGATGATGATGATGATGTTGATGATGTTGATGTTGATGATGGTGATGGTGATGATGATGGTGATGAGGGTGATGGTAATGGTAATGGTGATGGTGATGATGCTGATGCTGATGGTAATGATGATGCTGCTGATGATGATGATGCTGTAGCTGCTGATGATGATGATTACGATGATGCTCATGCTGCTGCTGCTGCTGATGATGATGCTGATGATGATGATGCTGATGATGCTGATGATGCTGCTGCTGCTGCTGCTGCTGATGATGATGATGATGATGATGATGATGATGATGATGTCGAGGATGATGGTGGTGGTGGTAGAGATGATGGTGATGAAGGTGGTGAGATGCTGATGAGAGAAGTAGGGGGGCGGCCGGGGAGCTCCTGCGCGGGAGGGGCAGAGAAAGCAAGAGCCCCCTTCGGATGTGGGGAATGAACTTTCGAAGGTCTGCGCGGATCCCTTGTGATTTCTTGGATCGGCACTGGACCCTGATCCCTGCGGGGGGGATCTTGGGCGCCCGAGTTATCCTGGGTAACTCGGGTCCGGGGTAACTCGGGTTTGGATTCCCGGAAAAAGGAACCCGAGTTAGCCCTGACCCGAATTACCCCTGATGATGTGGGGCTCTGGACGCCCGAATTATCCGGGGTAACTCGGGTCCGGGCTAACTCGGGTTTGGATTCCCGAATAACGAACCCGAGTTAACCCTGACCCGAGTTACCCCTGATGAATCGGGGCTCTGAGGATCCGCGCCGATTCAAGAGATCTGCGCGGACCTCCGAGATATTCTGGTTATGCAATTTTGCGTCCTTCGGCTGCCGCTGGTGCCGTCGGATTCGGAGTTCGGACCGAGCGCAGACGCACCACGCCCTGCAGCGGCGGCCGCTGCTGGGGAGAGGTGGCGAAAACTGCCTCCCCGAGCTGCGAGCCGAGCTGGCCGAGCGCACGGCGCACGCGGTGCCCCCTGGCGGATCCCCCGGCGAAGCGGCCCTGTGGCCGCCGGGAGCCTGTTTTTTTTTAGACTCTGGCAAGTTTACTTGCTTGCACGTTCGGAGGGGCGCGGAAATCACGCAAGTCGAAAGGCACTTGCACGCTAGTATTCGCTTGAAGAGGGGCGAGGGGGGGGGGGGGGGCGAACGCCATGCAAGTAAACTTGCCTGAATCCAAAAAAAACAGGCTCCGGGGGGTCCAAGGGTGCTGTGGCGCCGAGGGGCTCCGGCTCAAACGAGGGGCTCCAGCTCCCGGGATGGCGCAAGAGCCCTCCAGGGGCCTTTCGCCTCCACTCCTCCCGCCTGGCTGGCCGCTCTGAGGTGGATTGGGAGCTTCTATATACGTATACATAAATACATATATATATATATACATATATATATGTGTATATCTATATAAATATATATACAAGTGGCACGTGTGTGCCCAGGCTCATACAAAAAACTGAAGGGGCGTTTGAAGCAGGAGTGAAATGCAACATCGAAGTCGCACTCGAGCGCAAGTGGGGTTGCCACACCTTGCGATGTGTGTACCAGGACCCCCCAGGAAGCCTCAGGAGGCCCGACTTGGATACCAGAAGAGGCTCCAGGAGGCCCCAGGATTGTGAGTGTTGTGTGTTGTGTGTGTGTGTGTGATGTATGCTTTGTGTGGTGCGTGCTTTTTGTGTGTTGTAGGTGTTGTGTGTGTGTGTTATGTTTGTCTAGCGTGTGATGTGTTGGGCGTGATTTGTGTCTCTGTGTGCATGTAGTTCTGAAGCCCCAGGAGGCCCCAGGAAGCCCCAGGCGGCCTCAGGAGGCCCCAGGAGACCCCAGGAGGCTTCAGGAGGCCCCAAGAGGCTCCAGGAGGCCGCAGGAGGCCCCAGGAGGCCCCAGGAGGTTTCAGGAGACCCCCAGGAGGCTCCGAGGCGGGGTCTGGGGTGCCAGAAGGTTCAGAAAGCCCCAGGAGGCCCCAGGAGGTTCCAGGAGGCCCCCAGGAGGCTCCGAGGCGGGGTCTGGGGCTCGATTTTGGAAGGATTTTTGAAGCGAAACCGCCATTCCCTGAGAATCGGGGTTACAATTGTTGAAATTACCATGTGTTTTTGAAGGTGTTATGTTAAAATGTTGAAATTCCCATGTGTTTTTGGACCCTGACGTCACGATCTGCGTGAGGGGTGCCACCGATTTTCAGAATTTCGAGGATGTCCCGAGCGAAACTCCCAGAAAAATCGCGGACGCGTGCGCATTAATCGCCTCTGAGCTCTACTCCCTCGGAGAGGTGCGTATGAGAATATATATATATATATATATATATATATATATATATATATATGTACATATATATATATATAACGATAGATAGAAGCGACGCGCGCGTGCGGGCGGAGGAGGAGAGTGAGCGGGAGGCGGCGGCACCGCGGGCGCGGACGAGGAGGGCGAGGCCCAGGGAGGGCGGTGCTCCGCGAGGGCGCGGCTGGTTGCGAGCGGGGGCCCCCGCCCCGCCCCCCCCCCCAAAACCCCGCGGCCGCGGGGGCTCCCTCTGCGGCAGCTTCACCGCGCCCAGCAGCAGCAGCGCCAGGCACCCCAGGACGCCTCGCCGCCGCGGAGGAGGAGGAGGAGGAGAAGGAGGAGGAGGAGGAGGAGGAGGAGGAGGAGGAGGGGGCACGAGGAGGAGGAAGAGGCTCGAAGAGAAGGAGGGGGAGGACCCCGACAAACAGAAGTCACGACGGGAAGCCTTTTTCAACTTCGGCAGCCGGGGGCCCTGGCTGGGCCCCCCGGGGCTGCCCACAGAACGACTCGGGATGAAGGGTCAGCCCCTGGGGTGAAGTCGCGCCTGGGGACGATTTCTTCACTACCTCTGACCATTTGGGAGTTATTTGTTGATAATGTTTCATTTTGTCGCCGAGAATCCCTCCGTAGGGGGACATGCCCGACCTACCCCTTGGGAAGAGGTCGAAGCCTCCGGGGCGCCGCGTCGTGAACAAATGATCCCGGCAGAGGGCCCGACCGTACGCAGACGTGGGTGCCGCAGTCGTGCAGAACGCCTTCGGTGGCGCTCACCTCTGAGCCACGAGACTGAAGGGGAACTGGGGCACACACATAGATACACACACATAAACATTTTCCCCATAGTTTCTCACATGTTCTGGGTGTTTGTCTTCCCCCCCCTTTCCCAGATTTTCCAATATCTTCTGGGAATCGCCGAGAGACGCGTGAAGGAAGCGCCGAAATGTGGCGGGAGCGCCCCGCGGCACTGCCGCGGGGGCCGCCCGCAAGGGGCGCGGAGGTCGAACGAAACGGGTTAGGATTTTCGTTCTTACAAATTTATAAGACATTTAACACATTATGAATGTGAGAATGAATTCATGCATGAACTCAGCGTTGTTTTTCAGACTAAGTCCATGTATTTTTAATACATGATCCGCACGCGGAGCATGTATTAAAAACGGCACTGCACTGCTGTAGCCCGCTGCGGCCACGGGCACCGGGTGAACCCGAGAAGGCACGCGGGAGCCGCATGCGAACGCAGCCATCGGAGCCTTTGGTGGAGCGCCCCAGGGGGCCACGGAACGGGTGGGGGGTGTGCCAAAGAGAGGGGTGGGGCGGCAAGCGAACGCAGCCACTGGAGCCTTCTGTGGAGCTCCCTATGCGGCAAAAGTTTGAAAGGTGTGCCAACAAAAAGGGGTGGCAGCATGCGAACGTAGCCACTGAGGCCTTCAGTGGAGATCCCCATGGGGCCACGAAACGTGTGAGGGGTGTGCCGAAATGAGGAGGGTGACGGCATGCGAACGCAGCCGCTGGGACCTTCGGTGCAGCTCCCTATGGGGCCATGGAACGTGTGAGGGGTGTGCCGAAATGAGGGGGGGGGCGGCATGCGAACGTAGCCACTGAGACCTTCGGTGGAGCTCCCCATGGGGCCACGGAACGCGTGAAGGGTGCGCCAAAGTGGAGGGGTGGCGGCATCCGAACGCAGGAGCCTTCGGTTGAGCTCCCTAGTTGGTCCTTTAAACGTGTGAGGGGTGTGCTAAAGTGAGGGGGGTGACGGGAGGAGGAGGAGGAGGAGGAGGAGGAGGAGGAGGAGGAGCAGGAAGAGGAGGAGGAGGCGGATGAGGGAGGAGGAGGAGGAGGAAGGAGGAGGAGGAGAGAGGAGGAGGAGGGGAGGGAGGAGGAGGAGGAGGAGGAGGAGGAGGAGAGGAGGAGGAGGAGGAGGAGAGGAGGAGGAGGAGGAGAAGAGAGGAGATGAGAGGAACGAAGAGGAGAGGGAGAGGAGAGAGGAGATGAGGGGAGAATAGAGGAGAGGAGAGGAGAGGAGAGGAGAGGAGAGGAGAGGAGAGGGGGGACGCGGGGGCATCTCTTCAGAACGAGGACCCAACACATTCGAGACGGTTGGGACACATCGCGGCGACGGAGCCTCGCCCCGGTCTGTGGCTGCTCGTCGGGCACGACCGCCCCGCGCCCAGCTTGAGGCGCTGGCTCACGCGGGGGGGCGCCCTCGCCCGTCCACTCGAAGCCCCAGCACCGCGCGGCGACGGCCCGCGCGGCGGCCTCGAATAGTCTCAAGTCGGGCCCGTCCCCCTACGGGGGGATTGTCGACGAAAATCAAAAAAATACCCCAAAAATAATCCAAACATAGTCTGGGGACTATGTTTTGAATACGTTTTTTTTTACCTTTTTGGGGTATATTTGGAATATTGCTCATTTCTCATGGAATATCCCCCTGTAGGGGGACACGCCCGACATAAGAATAGCCCCCCACGACCTCACCGCGCGATCTCCGTCGCCGCGCGGCCCCAGGACGCCCTGGGCCGCAGCCTCCAGGGGACGTCCTCGGAGAGCGGCCCGAGCCCCACACCAGGCTGATGGGCCTGTTGTCCACCACCACCACCATAAAGTTGGAGGGGGAGAAGAGGAGGAGGAGGAGGAGGAGGAGGAGGAGGAGGAGGAGGAGGAGGAGGAGGAGGAGGACCCCCTACCCCTCCAACTGATGGTGGCGGTGGTGGAAAACGGGCCCTATCACAGGCGGTGCCTTCGCATCCCCACCGCCTCGCCACGCGGCGTGGTCGGCGCACCGCTTGTTGAGCAAGGACCGACCGTCCCGGCATTCCTGTAGTCCTACCACGAACTGTTCTTAAAACCCAAAAATGTTCTAAGAACAAAAACAATGCCCTTAGAACATAATCCCGATGCGATAAACCAAGACAGACTCCGCCAGAGATGCTCTAAGAACATGTCGTGGAAATCGCAAAAGGTTCTTCGAACACTGTTTGGTGGGGCTAGAGGCGCGCCAGGACGCTTCGCCACTGCTTGAATTCGGGGGGGGGGGCCGAGGCGGGCGACCCGCCGGGCGCCGCGCCGCGGTCGCCGTCTGCAGGGTCGCCGTCGGCTTAAGCCGGGCCTGTCCCCCTACAGGGAGATTTTCGACGAGAAATCAAAAAAATACCCCAAAAGTACCCAAAACAGATCTCAATATACTCAACAAGTAGTCCCTGGATCATTTTTGGAATATGTTTTGACTTTTTTGGGTACTTTTCATTTTTCGTCGAAAATCACACTGTAGGGGGACAGGCCCGACTTAACCGCCGGCGGGCGAAAGCCCGCCGGGCCCGAGCCGGGCCGAGCCGCGGAGCCGCGGCGGGGCGGGGGCGCGGCGGGCCGCGCGTTCGCAGCAGCGCACCGCGGGGAGCGCCCCGCGGGCCCTGCAGCCGCCGAGAATGAAGGGGCCCTGGGACACACAAATAAATACACACAAATAAAGATATCCCCGATATTTTCCCATATTTTCTTGGTTTTTGTCTTCCCCCCCACTTCCCATATTTTCCTATATTTTCCTGGGAGTGGACGATTAATTGTGTATGTGTGTCTTTTCTCCTCCTGAAAGAGGGGGGCGCATCGCCCCGCGCGACGGGCTGCAGCGGAGGGACCTCGGAGTCGAAGCGCGCTCCGAGGTCCGTCCGCGCCGGCCCGTCGGCGTTGCGACGGTGGGAGGAAGGGGGGGGAGAGGGGGGGTGTCTGGCTGCAGACCTCTGCTTATGAGAAGGCGAAAACACACCCCGACCCCCAGTCCCGAGCCCATCCCCGAACCCGCGATTCAAGGAGTCGGGACTGGGGGTGGGGGTGGGTTTTCGGGGTCCAGGAATGGAGTTTACCCACCCCCACCCCCAGTCCCGACCCCTTGAATCGCCAGCTCGGGGATGGGCGTCGGGACTGGGGGTGGGGGTGGGTTTTCGCCTTCAGAGCTCAGTGCGACTGTCTGCAAGAGTGCTGCTTCTGGGGGAGTGCGCCAGACAACAGCCGAGAGCTACTCCATGGGGGATGGGGGGGGGAGGGGTTGGTAGAGGCCTCCTAGATGGGGTCCGAGTAGACGGGGTCGAAAGATCGCGCCGCATCGCCAATGCATCGCCATCGGCAATGCATCGGCGACGCATCGGCGACGCCGGAGTGGAGAAAATCGGGCTCCGCACCGAGCCGCATCATCGACACATCGGCGATGCAGCGCGATCCTCCGACCCCATCTACTCCGACCCCGTCTAGGAGGCCTGGAGTTGGGGGCCCGCGCCGATCGGCATCACAACGGGGACGAGGACGAGGACGAGGAGGAGGAGGAGGTGGAGGAGAGGAAAAGGAGGAGGTGGAGGAGGAGGAGGAGGAGGAAAGAGGGAGGAGGAAAAGAGGGAGGAGGAGGAGGAGGAGGAGGAGGAGAGGAGGGGAGGAGAGAGGAGGGAGGAGGAGGAGGAGGAGGAAGGAGGAGGAGGAGGCGGAGGGAGGAGGAGGACGAGGAGACGCATCAACAAAACAGATCGCATTCAGGCGCGGCCCGATCCGTTGGGGACGGGATCGGACTGGGCCGTGAGCGGGGCCCTGCCTGGCCTACGCGCCGCCTCGAGCACCGCCGCCCCGGGCCGACGAGCTTGACGAGCTGGCCCGTCGAGGAGGAGGAGGAGGAGGAGGAGGAGGAGGAGGAGGACAAGACAAGACGAACCGTTGCGAGCCATAGTCTGAGGAGGAGGAGGAGGAGGAGGAGGAGGAGGAGGAGGAGGAGGAGGAGGAGGAGGAGAGGGAGGAGGCGCCCTCGGCGCCCTCGTCGGAGTGCGCAGGTCGTGACCGCCTGCACCCGCCCGATCGTGCCTCGCGCTGTGTTTGGTTCCGCTCCTTCGTGAATGGCTACTGACACCGTCACAAGACGGCCCGGGATGCAGAGCCGGCCCCGGGGGGGCCGGAGCTGTGTCGGGGCCGACCCCGGGCTCTACTCTACTCCATTCTACCCGACTCGGCTCTACCATCTGCCCTGCTCTGCTCTACTCGGCTCTGCTATGCAAAGGTGTATTCTTCTCGTCCCTGCCGTGCCCTACCCTGCCCCAACCTAACCTCATCCACTCTGCCATACGCCTTCTGCTTCTCGAATGGAATGTCGTATTCCCATTCTTTACGCTACACTGCTCGATTCTGCTCTATTCTATCATGCCCGGCTCGGCTCTGCCATCTGCCCTACTCTACTTTACTCTGCTCGACTCTGTCAGATTATACTCGATTATGCTCTACGCTACCCTATCCTACAGTAAACTCTACTCTAATATACAACTACTCCACCCTACTCCTACTCTACTCTGTCCTGCACTTCTCTCATCTGCTCGGATCTGCAGTACTCTGCTCTACTCTATTGCTCTTCTCTGCCTGCCTCTACTCTACCGTCTACCCGACTATATGTAACCTGCCCTGCCATACTCCACACTACACTATCCGACTATTCCCTAACATACTCTAACATACTCTGTCCCTGCTTTCTCCTATTATCTACTGCTGCTCTCGATCAGATCAAGAGATCTGTTATACTCTACTCTACTCACTCTACTCTACACTGCTCTACTCTGCTCGAAGTTGCTCTACCATCTGCCTTACTCCACTCTACTCTGCTATGATCTGCCCTACTCCACTCTACACTATCCCAACCCTACTCTACTGTTCTACTATACTCGACTCTACTCATTGTATACTCTTCTCCACTCACACTCGATGATACCGTAGTATGCTCTCTACTTCACTCAGCCCTATTGTGTTTCTATTAACCTCATCTTCCCTAATCTGCTCTGCTATAATTTACGCTACTTCTGAGTTTGGCGATTGCTAGCCGATTGTTGGGACGCCATTGGAATAGTCGCAGGGAGAGGAAACTATTCGGATACCAAAGAGAACCATGCGGATACAAAGGAATCCATGCGCATACAAGAGCGAACCGTACGGATAGCAGGAGCGCGTTTATTTATGGTCGGCGATGACGGGCGTCATGGGACCCGCACCCTCCTGGGCAGGTTGAGGCTGTCGGGTACCTATCGGCGATCATCGCTCATTGGTCGATGCATCCCCCCCTGTGTAGAATACGAAAGCACTGCATGAACATAAACTTTCGACGGTCCGCGCGGATTTCTTGGATCTGTGCTGGGCCCCCCTTTTTGGCGCGCCGGAGGCGCCGACAGGGCGCTCCAGCACAGATCCAAGACATCCGCGCGGAGCGCCTACAGCTTAAGTTTATGTCATTTCTTCTTCTGCTTCATGCCTATCCCCCCCTATCGTTGCCCCTGAATGGGCCATGAGTGATGGGCCTGTTTTCCACCACCACCACCACCACCATTATTTGGAGGGGGAGGGGGTCCTCCTCCTCCTCCTCCTCCTCGTCCTCCTCCTCGTCATCCTCCTCCTCCTCCTCCTCGTCCTCCTCCTCCTCCTCGTCCTCCTCCTCCTCCTCGTCCTCCTCCTCCTCCTTCCCCCCTGCAACTCATGGTGGTGGTGGTGGTGGAAGACGAGCTGGGTAGTCGAAGCCAATCTGGCGCCAATCTGGCAGGCCCAATCTGGCAAACGGGGGCAATCTGGCGAGGGAGCCGACGCGAATCCAGTCTGGCGAATAACCCAAATCCTCCAATATGGCCAGGCCAGATTGGCCCTTGGGGCCCAATCCAGTCTGACAGTCTGGCCTTCGACTACCCAGACGAGCCCATCACCATCGTTGCCCCTGAGTGGGCCACGAGGCGAGGCGCACCCCTCCGCGCTCCTCCCCGCGCGGCCCCGTCCGCGAGCGGCGCCCGCGCTCCTCCCGCGACGGGCGCGCCCCCGCGCCCGCCCCCTCCCCACGAGGAGGAGGAGGAGGAGGAGGAGGAGGAGGAGGAGGAGGAGGAGGAGGAGGAGGAGGAGGAAAGGGAGGAGGAGGAGGAGGAGGAGGAGGAGGAGGAGGAGGAGGAGGAGGAGCGGGCCCCGCGCGCGGGGCGGGCCGCCTAGGACCAGCCACGGCCCCACGAGCGGGTTGGTCAGGCTGCCTGCGGCGCCGCCCCCCGCGGGAGAGCGGAGGGCCGGGTCGGGCGCTCGGGGGGAGCGAGAGGGGGGGGGGTAGCAGAGGGTAGGGCAGAGAATCAGCTCACGTAGCCGATTTTCCCGGCGCCTCCCGGCGCCGGGAGGCGCCCATGCATCGAGGAGCGGGCCCTGCGGCGGGGACGAAACCAGCTGCATGCAGCAGATGCCGTAACCCCCCCTTTCCCTATCACCCCCCCCTTTCGTTCGGCCCGAGGCATGTCCTCCTAACAGGCGGATTTGTGGAAGAAATGACGAAGAGTCAAACCAGACTCAGACAGGCTCAAACACAGTAGTAACATTGTCCCCCGATGATGTTTCTGTGTAGAATGTTTTTCCATACAGTCGGGGCGTTGACCTAAGGAACCCTAAATAAGGAACGAGGCCCCTTGTCTTCAGAAGTTAAACTTCGATTTCCTATCGAAAGCATGAGGAAAACCTGAGGCAAGCTGTGAAACACTTAAGGAACGCGGAGCCCCTCCCCAACGAAAAGGGTTCCTTCTTCAGGGCCCCGACTGTATTCCTCCTGTAGAGGGACATGCCCGATTCAAAGCAGGAGGGGGGCCGGGGCACTGATGAGTCCAGGGGAGGCCAGCGGCGAAGACAAAAGCAGAGGCGAATATGTCCCACAGGCACTGCATGAGGTGGCCCCAGGAGATGGCAAGGGCGGGGTGCGGAGGAGAGGAGTGGGGATGCCGAGAGAGCAGAAAAGAGGGCAAGGGGAAGGGGAGGGAGAGGAGAGGGAGGAGGCGGGGGATAGGAAGCGAAGGAAAAAAAGAATGGAAGAGAACGAGAAAGGGGGAGAGATGGGGGAAGGTGAATGAGCAAAGGAGGGTACTACTACTACTACTACTACTACTACTACTACTACTACTACTACTACGACTACGACTACGACTACTACTACTACTACTACTACTACGACGACGA